AAATATAAAAAATATGTAACTGTATTTAAGTACTAGAAGAAAATATTGAAAATATTGGTGAAATGTTTTATAACTTGAGTATAGGGCAAAGGCTTTCTAACTATGACTAAATGTCCAGATGCAATCAGATAAAATACTGACCTCATTTAAAAGTTTCAATTACATTTTAAATAACTGTCTAGCAAAAAAGCCCATGAAAGACAAACTGGGAGAAAATACTGGCAATGTATATTACAAATAGTTAATCTTATTAAATAAGGGCCAGATAGCTTCACTGTTGAATTCTACCAAATGCGTAAAGAAAAATTAACACCAGTGCTTCACAGACTCTTTCAAAACATTAGAAGATGAGGGAACACTTCCCAACACATTCTGTGAGGCCAGTATCACCCTGATATAAAAACCAGATGAAGACATTGCAAGAAAACTACAAGCTGATATCACTTATGAATGCAGACACAAAAGTCCTCAATAAAGTACTAGCAAACTGAATCCAGCAACACATAACAAGGATTATACACCATGACCAAGTGGAGTTTATCCCAGGATTGCAAGATTAGTTCAACATACAAAAATCAGTCAATCAATCCATGTAATATATTTACAGAATAAAGGGCAAAATCACATGATAATCTCAATTGACGAAGATAGGAGTGTGATAATATCTCTGTTCTTTTTTGGTAACTTTTATTATTTTGAATTGATAAGGTGTTAGTCAACAGATTGCAGGGCAATTAACCAAAGTACCTGGAAGTAAGGCCGGTATCTCTTTTTTAACACATAATCTGAAGCAAGATTGGGTTTGAAAAAAAGGTGAAGAATGGACCACAGCTACCAAGGCCTCCACCAGACTGAGTCCAGTACAGCTACCACCAGTGACTGCTCTGAGTGGGATCACAACAGAGGGTTCAGGAGAAGGATGTAGAACAAAATTCTAACACACATAAAAAAGACTAGATATACTGGCCTGAAAGAGACTGGAGAAACCCTGAGAATACGGCCCCCAGACACCCTTTTAGCTCAGTGGTGAAGTCACTTCTGAGGTTCACCATTCATCTGGAGATTGGACAGCCCCATAAAACAAAACAGGGCTAATGAGGCACAGCAGTCCAGGGACAAGGACTAGAAGGCAGAAGGGGACAGGAAAACTGGTGATAGGGAACCCAAGCTTGAGTAAGGACAGTGCTGACCTGTAGTGGGGTTGTTAACCATTGTCATAGGGCAACATGTGTACTAACTTTTTAATGAGAAACTATTTGTTCTGTAAACCTTCACCTAAAGTGAGAATAGCAGCACAACTGGAAGAACATAATCGATGTCACTGAATTGTGCATGTAGAAATTTTTGAAATGGTGTATCTTTGGTCGAGAAGGGAGAGGGTTAACATGTCGTGGGGTTGTTAACCAATGTCATAAAACAATATGTGTACTGACTGTTTAATGAGAAACTATTCTGTAAACCTTCACCTAAAGTAGAATAGAAAAAAAGAAATGGAATATATTGGGATTTGTATGTACAACATGGAAATTTCTTAGAAATTTTGGTTATTCACTTTAGTTAGGTTACATTTGCTAATACTACCTATTCTGGACCAAAAAAAGTATTGTATGGACTTAGAAATTATATTATTTTTATTTTCCCAGTTATCAACCTAGTTAATATATAATGTTTTTTACTTATTTGCCATTTTGTGACTTAAATAAAATACAACTGCTCAGTCTTTTTATCTCCATTGTTATTTCTACTACAGTCTATGATAACAGCTAACATTTATTGAACTCTTAATATGTCATGTACAGAGTTCAGTGTTTTATCTGCTCTCTCATATAATTCTTACAGCATCTTTGTGAACAAGCATTTTAATGTTTTCTAGATTCTGTTGTTATTTCCATTTTTATGGGTGGAGAAACTAAAGCATGGAGAGGATATATAGCCTAAGCTCATAAAGATGGACAGTGGTTCCAGTTGCAACCTAGCCAGGTCTTTTACTCCAGAGCCCAATAATAAATAGTGTCCCTCTTCCCTGCCTGGTTCTAAACAAAGAATGAACATGGAGGCTAACCTGTTACTTTTATTATAGGCCCACAGTCTCTTCTCTCAGATGTTTTTCAGAATCCAAAATTCTTTGTTTTGAAAAAGGTAATACAGTGTATATAATGTATATTATGTAACATCTTCAGCAAGGTCTGAGGCAGCACCTTGTGATCAAATATATTGATATTTTTGCAGTGAAATGTGTAAATGGACTCACGTCAGCTCAGGTCATGTTTTGCTACCAAATGTGGTGGTGGTGTGGTAGTTTTGTTGAGCCCTCTCCCCCACTCCCCGCCCTCCCTATTAGTATGTTTCCAGGGTTTTTTGGATTACAGAGTCATGGACCTGTGGTGATAGGTGCTGGATATGAAGACTTGCCTGCAGATCTCTTAGACAAGTGGTCTAGCTAATACCGAACCTCAAAACGAGGGAGGCTTTGTCAAACTTCAGTCTTAGACAGCCTGGATAAATGTAATTGTCTCTTTCTTTTTGGTAACTTTTGTTATTTTGAATTGGTAAGGTGATGTCAGTCAGTAAATTGCCGGACAGTTAACCATAGTTAACCTAAGCAAGATTAAGTTTGAAAAAAAGGTGAGAAAAAACCTTATTCACCACTTGTTATTTTTGGTGATGGGAAAGGCAATACCAAATGAGGGTGAAGACTGCACAACTTGACTGATAAATGATGACACTAAGAAGTACGCAACAATAGGGAACATTTTTAGTAAATGTTGTAATATATACAATTCTGCAAAACAGCAATAACCAAAAATACATGTTTGGTTACATAGGTAGATATGTATAAATATCTGTGTATAGGAGGGCAGGAGAGAGCATATGTCTGTGTAGGCATAGATATGTACATATTTGTGTGTGCTGCATATACACATAAATATAAAGCACATAGGAGGCACAGTTTCGAAGGCTTCTTAGGTGTAACCAAAGACCTCCCGGAATTGGTTTACTGGGTTTGAAGGCTTAGGACCACAGTCTTGTGAGCCAACTCAGTCAGGTGGCTCAACATGGTTTATAAAGTTTATGTTCTACATTCTAGTTTGGTGAGTAGTGCCTGGGGTCTTAAAAGCTGATGAGCGGCCATCTAAGATAACGACTACTGGTCTCAACTTGTCTGGAACAAAAGAGAAAGAAGGAAGCCAAAGACTCAAAGAAGAAACTATAACACTGATAGCTCACACAAACCACGTCCTTATCTATCTTAAGACCAGAAGAATTAGATGGTGCCCAGCTACCACTACTGACCGTTGTGACCAGGGACACAATAGATGGTCTCCAATAGAATGGGAGAAAATGTAGAACAAAACTCAAATTCTTAAAAGCAAACCAAAAAAAAAGACCAAACTGGACCAATAGAGACTAGAGGAATCCTCAAGACTGTCGCCCTGAGATACCCTTTAAACTTGGACTGAAACCACTCCTGGAGGTCACCTTTTGGCATAATAACAGATTGGATTATAAAATAAACAGTATCACTAGTGAGTATTGAGCTCTTTAAAAAAAATTATCTATATGAGACCAACGGTTAACATTTACCATAAAGCAAAGATGAGAAATTAAGGGGGGTCAGGGAAGCTAGAGTAATGGAAACAGAACAGCAGAATGAAAATAAAGAGAATGTTGACACATTGTGAAAAATGTAACAAATGTCACTGAACAAAATGTTTAGAAATTGTTAAATTTGCTGTGTAAACTTTTACCAAAAACACAATAATATATATATATGTATATATATGTGTGTGTGTATATATATACATATATATATATATCCTCATTAACAGGAAAAGGGTCTGCTTGGGTAAGCTTTGAGGAGAAAAGAACTATAACTCTAGAAGTAGGCACACTTCCAAGAGAAGGAAGCACAAACCTAACCAAGGATTTTTTTTTCTCAATTTACCAATCACTCTACTCTGAAGGGGCAGAGTAAATAAAGGGATTAGAGCACGGCTAGGAGTGTGTGTGAAAAGTCCCCACCCCACCCCCCATTCCACACACACACCCATACTAATCTCTTCATCACTTTTATATTTCGTGTTTGTAAGTGGTCTGTTCATACCCCATACTTCTCACTTTAAAAATCACTCCGTTTTTAGCTGTTGTACAAGTTTCAAGCAGAATTTTTTTAATCACTGCCAAACTTCGTTATAGTTGCGGCTGATGAGAATGCTTTGGGATTGAGGATTGGTTAAGACCCTCTCTAATGATCCTGTGATTTTATAGAAGAATATTCTTATTCTTAAGAGGTACATGCTAAAATATTTAAGAAGTGAAATGTCATAAACTTGCAATTTAGTGTTTCAGCAAACAAGAAAAGTAAAAAGAAAGCAAATGTGGCAAAATAGTAACAATTCTTGAATCTTGGGGGAGGTTGTCTGGGTGTTAATTGTACTATTTTATCATTTTTTCTGTATGATTGAAATTTTTCAATATAAAAAGTTGGAGAAGGAAAAAGGTCGTTGATGATGACATTGGGAGTATGTATGAATGCACATTGGATATTTATCAGAATTGAAGATGTAATGGATACAGAGTTGTAAGAGTTTAGATGTTTTCTTAATAATTATGCATGTACTTACTGTGTATATTAAGTTATGTATACAGTATATGTTTACACATGAAGTGGTTTAACATCTAGTAGAATATATTTGAGTGAATATTAAAACTCTGAAATAAGCTGTTCTACTTTTGTGTCTAATTTCCACCTCTTTTAGTTTGGGACAGAAAATGTTTACTTGTAAAAAATGATTAACTATGCCAAGTTTTTATCTGATATGTTATCATAAAGCAAATTAAATCTATGATGTTTCTTTTGCTGAGCGTTAGGAACCACTGCTAATTATGGAGTGATGCTAAAATCTGAAATCATCAATTTGTACAAAAGAAAAATAAGTTTAAGTATTGGTACTTTTATTTCTCCTTTTTAATGCTTATTATATGTATTTCTTCCCTAGATCTTCCTCAGAACTGTGATCCTAACATTCCCCTAGTTGCTCAGGAATTAATGAAAAAGATGATACGTCAGTTTGCAATTGAGTACATTTCAAAAAGTGGTAAAATTCAAGAGAATAGAAATGGTTCAGTTGGACCAAGTCTAATATGTAAAAGTATCCAAATGAATCAAGCAGAAAGCTCCCTTCAGGAAGAGCAGGAAGGCCCCTTAGACCTCACTGTGAATCGAATGCAAGAACAAAATACTCAGCAAGGTAAGATTTTTTTGTGTGTCATATATAATTTTACATTTTAATATCCTTTAAAATATATATAACTTTTTATATTTATTGAGAAATTTATTTTAGAATACTACTTGTAATTAGCTGATGTAAGATGGTCTAGAGAGAAGTGCTAATTTAGAGCTTTCGTGTTGTATTTAACTTTAATTATTTATAAAAGAGGAGATTTGATTGAGCTACTATCATCTCTTTTCATAATAAAGTGTATGGTGAGAGAATTCTAACAAACAACTTAGAAAGAAAGGATACAAGTATAAAGATGTGTGTGATAATTATTTTTACAGTGGACAGCTGAGAACATTAATTAAGCACTTGCTGTTCAGCTTTTTTAATTTGTAAAAAAAACATTTTTTCACAAATAAAAAGGAAGTCAATGATTTCTCTTCCAATAGTTTATGATGCAACCGGGAAAAGAGGAGTTAATTCATGTGATAAATATAGTTTAATCATGCAATTAATTATATAGACACATTTTCATAAGAATCCTGAATGATGAAGGCTATGTTGGATTTATCAAATTAAGTTTAATGGAATGAATAGTCTTTTAAGTGGGTGTGGAGGATGCCAAATAAGTATTTGCCTGGAGAAGAGAGAACAAGTAGCTTTTTTTAATACTATTTAGGGATGGTGGTGTCAGTCTTTGAAGCCATAAAAGTCAGCATTAAATTTGATCCCAGAAGGCAGTGATATTAATTCAGGGCTCCAAAGAAGTGTGTACTAGCCAATATTTAAAGAAGATAGTCTTTTCTGTGTGTAAAACAGATTAGAATTAAGAGAGACTGAAATATGGAAATTAATTTCTCTTTCTTGCGTCCCTGATTTTAAGTTGCTTGAGTTTATTTATGTAGAAAGATCTGAGAAATATGAAGATAATAATTAGACAAGGTTTTAAGACAGAAATATCAAAGATAACTATGATATAAGGCTTAAGGAAAAGTATATCAGTACATAGAATTTTGAAAATTGGAAAGCAGAGAGAGTTTTCAGAATGTTTTCTGTTTTGCTTTTCCATGCTTTGTATCCCTTTATGTCTCTTGTCTTTGGGGGGAGGAAGTTTACCTTACTAAAAAGAATAGAACATAGGCTTTGGTATCTGACAGATTTGGGATTAAAATCTCAGCTGTGCTACTTAACTTCCCTAAGTTACTTGAACAAATAACTTACCTATTGGAACTTTAATTTCCTCCTTTAAAATATGGCCATAATAATAATGAACTCATAAAAGATACTCAAATACAGTCTCTTCATACTCTGTCTCCTGGTTCCTTACAACAGAGGGACTCCTTAGAAGTAACATGAGATTGGTCTATAAATATTCGTAGGGCTCTTACAGTAAAGAAGGAATGAACTTTCTCTGTATGGTCCAATGAGTAATAATAGAATCACTAGCTAGAATGTAGAGGGAAACATTTCAGATCCACATAAGAAATAGTATTTCTAAGGATTAGACCTTTCTTTTTTTTTTTTTTATTGTACTTCAGGTGAAGGCTTACAGAACAAATAGTTTCTCGTGAAACAGAAGTACACATGTTGTTTTATGACATTGGTTAACAACCCCACAACATATCAACCCTCTAACTTCTCAACCTTTTTTTTTTTCTTTTTGGTGAAAATACAC